ATGTCTGAAATGGGTATCTCGAAAAGACGTTGCTCCGGTTGAACGAGTTTTTGCACATTGTAAACTTTAAAGAAATGGTCAACTTTACCTGAACCTGTTTTCAGTTGGCCTGTGATATGAATTGGACGAGACCAGCTCACTTTTGAATCCCTCTCTTTCTCTTTATTGCTGGTGAATGACTGGAGGCAGATTAGGCATGTGTGCGTTGCTTTTTTGCTTCCCTGCTCGCCGTAAAAGTCGATGCAAACATGCGTTAAATAGAACAGCGTGCAGCTGTATTGTAGCCTTTTTTTTCTGTTCTTGCTGCAGTGAGAGAATATAAAAGAAAAGAAAGCAACGCAGCAGACTAAAGTGACTGATTAAAAAAAGCCTATGAGGGGGAACTTCCCTGCTTGGCTGCCTGTAAATGAGTGCTAATGAGTTGTTGCCATTGTTGCTACTTGTCGCTAATTTGGATTTATATAATACGGATTTATTTTTGAGCGCAGAGTGAGTCGTGGGATGGTATCAATGTCAACTGTCACTCCACCAGAGAGGGGAAGTCCCAGTGATCAGTTGAACCACTTTATTTATTTATTTTTTTTTCCCTCTGCGCTGACTCACTTCAGTAGCTTTGGCTTTGGTTTATCACCCATCCCATGAGCAATTTCATGAACACGCTCGGGACTTACTTTCCGTCCGTTTCGGGTCCGTCCGGCCAAAGGTCAGTTGGGACGTAACCGCCAACTTTTCCCCCTGACCCGACCAAGAGATTCCGTTTGTCTTTCAACTATGCGAGCGAGGCATTCTGAGGTGAAAAGCACCGCAAAGGAGATGTGGACACTCGGCTATGAAGGGGGGCATGTGTTTAGATAGAGGGAAAGTGAGGCATTTTTACGCCGTGATTTATGAGGGCCTTTTTCTTTTTTTTTTTTTTTTTTTTTTTATAACTGCAACCAAAGCCTCTGCTCAGTCGTTGCAAATGACCAAAGGTGGACCAACCACATGCGCGCCTCCATGCAAGCCTCTTATTAGTGTCACACAGCCTTGTCTGTGGGTAGCTGAGTTGGATAATCTCATGACTCGCCTGACCTCCTCCGTGCTCGCTGCCAGCAGTGACGCTGGATTGGCTGAGAGGCCGGGTGGGGGGCTGGGGACGGGAGCAGTTGTACGTACGTTATATAACCGCGGCAGAAGAGGGGAAGAGGAAGAAAGAAGAGGGGATGGAGGGCCAGGTTAGGCGGAGAGGGAGATCTGTTGAGAGAAACGGACATGATGGCGGCTACAGGAAGGGAGCGCGAGAGGAAGGCGGGGAGGGAGGGAAACGTCTAGTTAGGATGGGAAATTTCACACAAGCTCAGAAGCAAAAGAGGGAGATTTGTGACACAGTTCCAGTTTAAAAGTGGGTTACGTTCGCAGTAATGCACTTCACATGCCACGTTATCTGAAGCTGTCGGATTTCCCCGTTTTAGCCTCCAACACAAACACTTTCTGTGTGGTCGGGATCATCCACGGTTAAAGAGCCAATTTAAAGGCAACTCCTTTCGGGATGAAAATCCATCAGATTTGGAGATTCGGTCCTGTAGCATGAATGATGTGAGCCAGTAAGCTTTGTTCACAAAGAGCCCAGATGTTTGACATAACGATTCCCAAACCTGGTAGTGCTTCAGTTCACGCATCAGCCGTTTTTATCCAAGACTGAGACGTTGCTCATTAACGTCTGGTGCAAATGTTGCAAATGTTAGTAGAAATGGAATTTCTAGCCTACAGAAGTTTGATCAGTACAGCAATGTAGATAATTAGAGTAGTTGGGTCAAAAAGGGAATTCTTAGAAAAGGATTATTCTAAAAATGATAATATATTTTTTAAATTCCTGTTAAATAGGAAAAACGTTGCCTTTCCGTTTTGCCAACATTGCATGTCTGGGGTTGCTGAATTGAATTGAAGCTCTGTAAGCTTACAGAAATAATGAAAATATAGGATGTCATTCCCAAATATTGGGATCATGTAAGACCCTGCAGTGGAAAAAGCTGCAGGCTCTGGTATCATGCACGGCCTCGACGAAGGGTTCGGCATTAACTATCACGATGGAAGATCAATACGTGGCACATTTGTCATCAGAGATTTAAGGATGGGGAGTTTTTTTTTTTTTTTTTTTCCATAATCAACCGTTATTGACTGGATGTTATTTAGCAAGGGTCTGCGTCATTGGAAGGCGTAATAAAATCTAAATGGGTCTCCTCTGTGTCTTTAAGTATAATCAGTGCATGGAGGCAATAAATTAATGAGGGAGCCAATAAACAGCAGCTGTTATTCAGAGGGATTAAAAGCAGTCTTTCATTTTCCTTTTTTTTGTTTTTCTTCTTTTAGGTATTGTGAGCGTTTCCGTACCCCGCACATGTCCTCTAAAAGATAAAGTGGCTCAGTCTCCAGCAGCCGCCTCATGCTCGCAGCTCCCAGACGTTTGCTCTTAAGAGCTTTGATCTCATTGGGAACTTGGCTCACACTGGTTCCCACTGTTAGATTCCACAGTGGCAGAGCAGGGTCAGTCCGGTTCAGACTTGTTTGTTGTGGACTTTATTATCCCGAGCCACTACGGAGGGGGAAAAGTGTCATCCCGCTTTGGACGCTGTGCTGTAAACGCTGTAAAAATATACAGCGCGGTTAGGAAAGATAGCGCCTTCCTATCATTAAAAATCCAAAAACTCCTACAGGCCACCGTCTGTTGCGTCGGGGTTGGGTGTAGTTTTATTATTTCAGAGTCTCGTTCGCCCTCCGGTATAACTTTGCTTGCTATCTGCACATATTCCCAAACAGGAGGATGTGTTTGTTGGCAGAGGTAAAACACTTGGAGGAAATAATTGATGCACGGAGTCGACTCAGATTTATGTCGCTTTTGCCTGTGAGGTGAACACACACACACACGCAGAGAGACAACATACACAACAAAACACAGCTTAGTTTTTTTTATTTTTTGTGCGTTTCCCTGACTTTTTCATAACCCCCCGCAAGAATGTAACGGTTATTATGTGTGATGGTGAGTTAGATGGACGGTCCTTTCTCCGTTCTCTGAGCATCTTTTTTTGGATATTCCGTTTCTTATTGGTTCTAGAATGTGAGTGAGAGTATTTGCACAGGTTTGCGTCGCCGTGGTCCATTCCTTTCGAATCTTAAATCTGTGCTTCATGGCTCAAAGCCACATGTGATGTTTGAGCAACGAGAGAAGCATGTGAGTCGGAGGAAAAGGAAAAGGGGGGGTGGGGGGGGGATGCTCAAATGTTTAATGCAAACACCACCCTGTGGTCATTTCAAAATGCCAGCCTGAATTATGAGGCCCGAGCAAAGCATGATATGATTATGTAACACTTGTATCTCCGTCATGCTTTTTTGAAAATAAACTAAATACTGAACGCAGGCCACCGTTAAATAGAGCGGAACGGCGTTTGTGGGAGCAGAATCATGTGCTCTCCTACTTTACAGGCTTGTTTTTTTTTTTTTTTTCTTAATAAGCGGTGTCTCAGCAGCCCAGGAAAAAAAAAAAACTGCTCTGCAAATATTGTCCATCTTCACTCGAATTTAACCAAACGAATACACACAGTGGGCAAATAATAGAATAAAAAATAAAGTCTAGCACATGGCAGTCTACTGTACTTCTCATGACATAACATGAAAGGGATTATTTTTATATTAGCTGCTGGCAGGACACATCAGATGTGCTATGATAGAGATGGTGTCTAACCAGAGTGACCGCATGCCATTGTTGTGTTTGAGTGAAAGGGGGGGGGTCCAGACAACAATGTCATTACCACATTTCGAAGCCAAAGTAATCCCACAGACACCACGATCTGATCGAGCCCTGGACCTCCCAGAACCCGAAGGATCTGCTGCCATTGAACCACAGGACCCCCCCCCCCCCCCCAGAGGTCAGCGCTCGGTGCCAGGGGGTCAGCTATTTCGGGGGGGGGACGGGCGGGGGGACTCGAAACAGTGTCGGGACAGGTGGTTTTAACGCCGCGGTCCACAGGTATGCGGCGTATAAATCAGCCTGAAGATAGCACGGTGGTGTCGGGCTTCATCGGGGGATAATTAACGGGATGGGAGGCTTTCACCTGCAACCGGGGGGCAGCCGGGGGGGGGGGGGACGGGTTTGGTGGGTTTCAAGATCAGGTCAGTCGGCGCTAGTAACACAAGCGTCCCGGTCTCGGGTTTAGCTATGTATGCTATGCCCTGGTGTGTTTTTCCATCTTTTTCCATGGGTTCACAAAGCTGAATTGCATTTGGCTCTCTTTGCAGCGAGCTATATACGGATAATTTTCCCCACCATAAAAAAAACAAAACAAGATCCAGGTAGTTTCTGTTTTTAAATATTGAAACATTTTCGACATATGAACCCTTTCGCATATTATGTTATCACTGTGATTATCCCACCGCCTGCAAGTTGTTGTTTTTTTTTTTTCCCCCTTCTGTATTGGCCATCTGTGAAACAGCACGATCATATTATTTTATTATTATTTATTTTTTCCCAGGTTCTTAATTTAGGCTGCCAAAAAAGCTGCAAAGGTATTTCGGTCTGAATCCGGCAGTCATTTGCGCCCGCCTGTGGGAGCTAAGAGTGACTAACTTGACCAGCTTAGCGTTAAGATATGGATAAACATCTTAGCTGGATGTTTTCCAAGATCTTCCCCTGCTAGTCCGCTTGCTCCCTGTCAGGTTTTCATAAGCCGGTGTCGTCTTACAGTGACCGCGAGCTGCTGGCCACTGTCAAATTAGGTCATGCTTGTTTGAAAATAGGAGTAAGGTTGAATCCTGATTGTTGGGACGGAGTGAGCGAGTCTTTTTTCTTCCTCTCTCATTTAATTTTTGCTCCGTCTGTCCACCCTCCAATCATCCTTTGTGAGTAAGACTTGAGAATATCAGAGAGAGGGCTGGAAACGGCGTTTGTCCGCTTAACAATGCTGCAACATCAGCACCAGAGCTATACATAGACCTATATATAAAGTCATTATCAAGCTTAGCGGGATATGGCTCCCCCTCCCCCTCCACATTCCAGCCGGTGTGCTACCAAAACAAACCGCTGAGAAAAATATTCCAGCCTGTTTAATACAGTCCAATTACACGGCCAACATCAGTCCACTTCACCTATGTGCTTCTTCACTCCTGTTTCTCTCTAACTTTAATAAACTCAAAAGAAATGGACGGCGGGGACTGTGTACAAGAGCTTCTTTACGGGGTTTACAGAGGCTTTAATATGCATTATGAGTCAATTTCGGGCTTGGCTCGAGATTTAAAGCTTAAGGTTACTCCGCAAAGAAGTCGTGGCCGGCGACAGGTGTCATTGTGTTTGGCTTATTTGCTTTCACCCCCTCACCAGGGGAGCCGGTGAACTCATCAACACCGAGGATCTGCTAATGCTCACAGAGGAGTGGATTAGCCTGAACTCCTTCATACTGATTCTGCGCAGTTTTAGAATTAGAAAATAAATCAGTCAATATCTGCAAGATGCACAGGAAAAGTCTGTCTGAAATTTAAGAATCCATTTTCTGTTGGAAATTTTGTCTTCCCCATTTTTTGTGTAATACTTTTTTCTCTAGCCTTGATTTTTGTAAATAAAGTACTTTTCTTCTTAATATTTTCACCAGAGGAAATGACTCCATCGCGCAAAGACTGGATTTAGTTTTTTGTCTTTGAATTTGTATATTTCAATAATTTGTGACAACATTGATCAAAAACTCCTTCACATTTCTTATGTTTTAATGTGATTTTCCTTCTTTTTTCCCCCCTCTCTCTCTCTCTTTCTTTACTTATTCCTGCTCACCTCCCAGGTCCGTGGAGAGCGGCAGTAATTCAGGGCCGGGCCAGCCCAAGGCCAGCGGTCAGACCCATAAGATCTGTCTGGTGTGCTCGGACGAGGCCTCGGGCTGCCACTACGGGGTGGTCACCTGCGGCAGCTGCAAGGTGTTCTTCAAGAGAGCCGTGGAAGGTGAGTCCTCGCCCGTTTTCAGTTACCAGCGCTCATTTTTAGATTTGACAGATTCACACTAACAACTTCAGTTTCCACTGGATTCGAAAGCCCACTAACTAACCAAGCTATGACCAGGTCTTTGCTCCACGGGATATTTCGAGGCCACGACTTTCTAAAAGTTAATTTTTAACTTTTCTCCCTCATTGTAACTAACATTTTTTCACATCCTCTGCCTTTTTTTTCTTCTTTTTTTTATCAGATGGGAAAAAAAACTGCTTGCATCTTTGTGGTTTTGTGGTCCATTAGTCCTAGCTTTGTTCGACTACCTCCTCTCCTTCCCGTTCGTCCTGTGTCAAAGCAGAGATAGCTTGCGAGCGGTTTGGATAAACGCTAACCTGAAGCCAAAAAACCTTCCGTTTGACACAGGATTGTGTTCCAGAGGGGGCGTTGTTGCAACCTTTTTATGAGCTTTTCTTATCTCCCGATAGGGTTTTCGCTCCCAGTCAAAGGCAAATCAGATGCCGCCTCCCCTTCCACCCCTCCTCTATGCGTTACTTTTCCCTTTTCCTTTCTGTCAACACGCTGCCCCCACAGGTGTGTCACAACTTCGTAAGGACTCCTTTCCCTGCCGATCACAGCCAGAAAATGGGCTTGTGAATGAATATCTAGACTCCAAGCCGAGGCACTTAAAGCAAAAAAATTGACCCCCCGCTAATCACTTTTTATATTTCGGTTAAAGGGCCTCTTGACCTCCTTTCACTCTGCTCCTGCGTTTTCTGTTCTGTTTGTTTTTTTTTTTCTGTGACTTCAACTAACATCGCTTGTGAAGTAATGGGTGGTTGCCAAACTCGCTGTGGGGAAATTATTGCTCTTGGTTTTCCAAAACGGTTTGCCCTCTAATGCAGTTAGGGATTAAAACGCGGGCGGTTGCTGGTGGAGTTTTTTTAAAAGTGAAATTAGGCCGATTTCACACGGGAATTCTTCTCAACAAAACACACGTGCAACAGCGAGACAGGTCGAGTTTTTTATTTCCACATTTTCCCCCCATGTTTCGGACTAAGTTTCAGTTTTTTGTTTGCTCTGTTTTGCTTTTTCTTGCCACTTCACATGCTCTTCTGTTATTTTCTAAAAGACCCCTACATTTATGGCTGTTCACATGCTTCTAATCAACAAACCATTTGTTGTATAAAACTGTAAAATTGTCATTTTGATGAGTGTGAAACTGTGATAAGATGTGATAAAATGTGGAAAACTAAAAAAAAAACAAAAAAAAAAAATTCCTGCTGAGTACTATTCAGGTATCTGTGTTGTTACACATGATTTTTTTTCTGCTGTCCCAGGTGTTATTTGGTGGTGCAGGTGTAACTGCCAAGCACACAAACTGAAGTTTAGCTTTTTATATTTGAAAAGAACGTCCTACAGCAGCACTGAGAGAGTTATGTGTGTCATTTTTTTTCTCCCCCCTTCTCCGTCCTACGCTCGTTGTCTCTATGGTGAAGGATGGAGAGCGCGACAAAACACAGATGGTAAATAAATGCACCTTTAATAACAACAATAACACCTCTCATTGTAATTATGATGATGAATTAAAGGGAAAAAAAAAAAGTGGTCAGCTCTGATTTGCTCGTGTCCCTGTATTCCTTCGGCACTAAACTGTGACCAATCTGCGTAGACACATGCAAAGCCTCTTTTGCCAACTATCTGTTAATGCATGCAAATGTCTTGAATGACTTTGTAATTCAAATCAGCATCAATTGCCTGTGAGTGATTATTGTGATCTTCGGTTTCTTGCTTGGAATGCTTCGCCTTATCCTCCTCGCAGGTGGTAGATCCAAAAATCACCAATTAGCCGATTCCTCTGCACTTAATCACACCAATGTCTTAGATCTGATGTAGAATATGTTTGGGATTACTGTTGGAGGTGTTTTATGGACCCCGTGTCTCACTGTTTCTGCTGTTTATAGTCAGGAGGTCTGCCTTTTAAATACTATGTTCAGGGATGATGTTTAATTATACATGTTTTGTTCCAAGGTGAATAGATAGATAGATAGATAGATAGATAGATAGATAGATAGATAGATA